TGGCCAAAACACCAAGCAATTTACCTTCATGTCAGATAGTGATGCTTAAAGCTATGGCCAAATCACCAACCAATATACTTACATGTCAGATAGTGATGCTTAAAGCTATGGCCAAATCACCAACCAATATACCTACATGTCTGATAGTGATGCTTAAAGCTATGGCCAAAACACCAACCAATATACCTACATGTCTGATAGTGATGCTTAAAGCTATGGCCAAAACACCAACCAATTTACCTTCATGTCAGATAGTGATGCTTAAAGCTATGGCCAAACCACCAACCAATATACTTACATGTCTGATAGTGATGCTTAAAGCTATGGTCAAATCACCAACCAATATACTTACATGTCTGATAGTGATGCTTAAAGCTATGGCCAAAACACCAACCAATTTACCTTCATGTCAGATTAAGTGATGCTTAAAGCTATGGCCAAAAACACCAACCAATATACCTTCATGTCTGATAGTGATGCTTAAAGCTATGGCCAAATCACCAACCGACTTACCTACAGGTCAGATAGTGATGCTTAAAGCTATGGCCAAATCACCAACCGATATACTTACATGTCTGATAGTGATGTTTAAAGCTATGGCCAAAACACCAACCAATTTACCTTCATGTCTGATAGTGATGTTTAAAGCTATGGCCAAAACACCAACCAATTTACCTTCATGTCTGATAGTGATGCTTAAAGCTATGGTCAAAACACCAACCAATTTACCTTCATGTCTGATAGTGATGTTTAAAGCTATGGCCAAAACACCAACCAATTCTACCTTCATGTCTGATAGTGATGCTTAAAGCTATGGCAAAAACACCAACCAATATACTTTACATGTCTGATAGTGATGCTTAAAATATATGGCCAAAACACCATCCAATTTTACTTTCATGTCTGATAGTGATGCTTAAAGCTATGGCCAAATCACCAACCAATTCTACCTTCATAATCAGATAGTGATGCTTAAAGCTATGGCCAAAACACCAACCAAATATACCTTTCATGTCAGGATAGTGATGCTTAAAGCTATGGCCAAAAACACCAACCAATTTACCTACATGTCTGATAGTGATGCTTAAAGCTATGGCCAAAACACCAACCAATTTACCTTCATATCAGATAGTGATGCCTTAAAGCTATGGCCAAAGAAACACCAACCAATTTACTTCATGTCTGATAGTGATGTTTAAAACTATGGCATAAACACCATCCAATTTACCTTCATGTCTGATAGTGATGCTTAAAGCTATGGCCAAAACACCAACCAATTTACCTTCATGTCAGATAGTGATGCTTAAAGCTATGGCCAAATCACTTACCAATATACTTACATGTCTGATAGTGATGCTTAAAGCTATGGACAAAAACACCAACCAATTTACCTTCATGTCTGATAGTGATGTTTTAAGCTATGGCCAAAACACCAACCAATTTACCTTCATGTCTGATAGTGATGCTTCAAAGCTATGGCCAAACACCAACCAATTTACCTTCATGTCTGATAGTGATGTTTAAAAGCTATGGCCAAAACACCAACCAATTCTACCTTCATGTCTGATAGTGATGCTTAAAGCTATGGCCAAAACACCAACCAATATATTCCTATACATGTCTGATAGTGATGCTTAAAGCTTATGGCCAAAACGCCAACCAATTTACCTTCATGTCAGATAGTGATGCTTAAAGCTATGGCCAAAACACCAACCAATATACCTTCATGTCAGATAGTGATGCTGAAGCTATGGCCAAAACACCAACCAATTTACCTACATGTCTGATAGTGATGCTTAAAGCTATGGGTAAATCACCAACCAATTTACCTTCATGTCTGATAGTGATGCTTAAAAGCTATGGCCAAATCAACAACCAATATACCTTCATGTCTGATGGTGATGCTTAAAGCTATGGCCAATCACCAACCAATATATTACATGTCTGATAGTGATGCTTTAAAGCTATGGCCAAATCACCAACCAATATACTTACATGTCTGATAGTGATGCTTAAAGCTATGGCCAAATCACCAACCAATTTACCTTCATGTCTGATAGTGATGTTTAAGCTAGGCCAAAACACCAACCACCTTACCTTCATGATACGATAGTGATTCTAAAAAGCCATGGCCAAATCACCAACCAATTTACCTTCATGTCTGATAGTGATGCTTAAAGCTATGGTGAAATCGCCAACCAATTTACCTTCATGTCTGATGGTGATGCTTAAAGCTATGGCCAAACCACCAACCAATTTGCACCTTACAGGTCGAATGGTGATGCTTAAAGCAATGGCCAAAACACCAACCAATATACCTTCATGTGTCTGATAGTGATGCTTAAAGTTGCGACCAAATCACCAACCAATATGCTCTTACATGTCTGATAGTGATGCTTAAAGCCATGGCCAAACCACCAACCAATCTCTACTCTACAGGTCAGATAGTGATGCTTAAAGCAATGGCCAAAACACCAACCAATATACCTTCATGTCAGATAGTGATGCTTAAAGCTATGGCCAAATCACCAACCAATTTACCCTCATGTCTGATAGTGATGCTTAAAGGTATGGTCAAATCACCAACCAATTTACTTTCATGTCAGATAGTGATGCTTAAAGCTATGGCCAAACCACCAACCAATTTACCTAAAGGTCAGATAGTGATGCTTAAAGCAATGGCAAAAACACCAACCAATTTACCTTCATGTCTGATAGTGATGCTTAAAGTTATGGCCAAAACACCAACCAATTTACCTTCATGTCTGATAGTGATGCTTTGAAGCTATGGGCTTCAAAACACCAACCAATTTACCTTCATGTCTGATAGTGATGCCTCAAAAGCAATTGCCAAAACGCCAACCAATTTGTACCTACATTTGTCTGATAGTGATGTTTAAAGCCATGGCCAAAACACCAACCAATTTACCTTCATGTCAGATGATAGTGATGCTTAAAGTTAGCGGCCAAAACACTGGCTAACATAATTTACATGTGAGACAGTGTCCCCAAGCTCCAAAATAGAAAGAACTTGTGAAATAAAATTGAAGGTACAATGACTATAAATTTGTATTTTTGAATATGTTGATTTATTTGCGTCTAGTAGCCCCTTTTTATTTCCCCCACCATTGCGCCAGAAGATCTCGCTCAAAGCTGGACCATGTTGCCTACTACGTGTTATGTCTATGGCGCACATTATCTCCGCCCTAGAACATCACATAAATGCACTGTTAGGAAAGTGTCAATGGATGTTGTGGGTCTGTTAAATGTCCGTATTACTTCCTATCGGAAAAAAACTGGGGCAAAACCTGGGCTCGATGTGGTTTGACATTGTCATCAAGCATTTGAAACTTCCAGCCTATAATATGTAACGACATTTCGTAAACATGTCTTCTGTCCGTCAGTTGTCCACCATAATAACACACTCAGTTCCAAATGTGTGATCCTCTAAACAATGACCCTCCCTCCTCCATACCGATCATATGCCATGCATTGTTGACCTGGTCCAACCAACTACCGCTAGCATCGCCGACAAAATGTTCTGTCTCATCTGAGAATCGGAGGCAAAACCTTCCTTGGTTTGTGTGTTTGCTTGACCTTCAGCCCGTGCCTGGCGATGGCGAGTTCATCATGAGCTTTGCTGCCTATGTTTTGATTACATCATTCACATGACGCCTTCTTTTCAGGGAGGTTGCATAGAACCGGTAGATGTTGAAAAATATCCTTTCAGATCTTGTACGGATATCTCTATTAATAACATGAAGAGATTTGAATCGTTTTCTCAATGTAATTAATAAAATGAGACGGTCTTGTGTAGGTGACGGTTTTAGGCCCTGCACTTCTTTGACTCACTGCAATCCCACCCATTTGATCTTCACATTGAGATAATGTCTCAGAGGCATTTTAAGCATGGAGTTAGTCCAACTGAATTAGTGTGCACGTGTAGTCTGTGTGCATGTGAGTGAGTGCATGGTTATATGCCGCTTTTACGCCGCTTTTAGCAATATTCCAGCAATATCACGGCGGGGACACCAGAAATGGGCTTCACACATTGTACCCATGTAGGGAATCGAACTCGGGTCTTCGGTGTGACGAGCAAACGCTAGGCTACCCTATCGTTCCTGCATGATGTGAAGTTTCAGTCGCTATAAAAGTGTTCAGATGTCACATGTCAACAATAGCCAATTGTAACTCGTTAATTTCCTTAATTTTTGGTCTGTAGAATATAAACTGACGATCCAAAGAAAGTTGCCACATGCTTTGGTGGACTCTAAAACGAACACTCAAGTTATGTTGATGTAAACAAATAATTATATTTCATTAATGTGCTATCAATCTTGCACAATATCGAGGTGATGTCGTTTGATACCAACTTGGAAAATCAACTGTGTAACAGTTAGTGAACCCTGTGACTGGGGACTTGAGATGACATCCATCAATACCTCGTGGGACTTCCTCTGGCAAAAGACTGCATGCTCCACAACGCTTTCTCATGGATGACGTCAGATGACGTAAGCCGGTATGCGTTGCCAAGTATCATTTAAGGCCTGAAGATTAGTTGGCTGGGGACGTCTCCCTCAGCTCTCTACAAAGATGATCCGATAGGTGTTCTGTGGGAGACTTGTTGTGGAGAACGTGAGGGGCCATGACAAGACGGCTACATTGACGTTAATGAGAAAGTTCTGAGTGATCCTTGCTGTGTTGGGACGTGCATTGTCTTATTGCACAAGTTTCCCCAGTGGTTGTTGCTGCAAGAATGGCATGGCAGGTCTCAGGACTTCGTCAATTTACCGTTGTGCATTCAGGTTGCCACGGATGACAGCCTGTTGGGTCTTCTGGTCATCACAAATCCCACCCACACCATGAGACCACCACCTCGTTGGGGATGGACGTTTTCGACACAAGTTGGGAGCCTATCTGTCGTTTCTACGGCGGTACACACGAACTCTCCCGTCTGCATGGACCATATTAAATCTACTCTCATCAGAGGGACAGAATACGTTGCCATTCTCGCCGCTGCCAACATCGTACACCTCGGGCCCACTGTAGTCTGGCGAAGCGTTGTTGGGCGATCAGCGCCATCCCGCGGAAGGGTCGGATAGGCCCTGATACCGACATGACGCAATCGTCTCCTCAGTGTGTGTCGGCTTACCCGGTCAACCAATGCCGTTGCTGCAGATTCCGTCACTGTCAGGAACCGATTGCGTAGATATCTATCTTGTCCGGGTGTTGTGACGCGTGGTCTACCACTCCGAGGTCTGTCACAGGTTCTGCCAGTCTGGTGCTACCGCGGGAACAACTTAGTGATGGTCTGACGTGAGCATCCAAAGGTTCTTTGGCGTCCCCGTCATGGCCATGCCAATGGCTCTCTCCCTCTCTTCTGGCCTTAAACGTGGCATCGCTCTGATGTTTTTGGTTGATGTGACAGTGTGTGTGACCATTTGGATTGAAATATATAGTGGTATCTGCATGGAATTCCATGGAAAAACGAAACACGTATTTTTGTTTTAGGGTCGCAGCACGTGCATTGACGGGTGCATGAGCTGGGTTGTTTTGCAAATTTGTGTTCGCATGCAGTGTTTCCATAAGTGACTAACATGTGTTCTAACCCGTTTGGGATTATTCGCAATTTTAAGGTGAGAACTTTCTTTTGATCGTCAGTTTATGTGGGCCTGTAAAGGTCCTTTCCTTATACATTTTATTTATATGTAATTTACAAAGAAAGACGATATTTGTACAACTTTACTGGACTTCTAAATGTACAGTTCGTTGGAGACAAAACGCAAAAGGCAAAAAGCAAACCGAAGGAGAGACATAAACCGACCACGAAGACGTCAAGAAAAAAGAAACCGAAACGAGACTCGTCCAGAAGATCCAAAGAGTCACGTTCCAGCTATAATTGGTTCCTAGCAGGTCGAGAGGGTCACGTCCCAACAACTATGATCGTTCTAGCACCTCGAGAGGTCACGTTCAACAGCTATGATGGTTCTAGCAGGTCGAGGGTCACGTCTCAACAACTATGATCGTTCTGGCAGCTCGAGAGGGTCACGTCAACAACTATGACCGTTCTAGCAGCTCGGAGGGTCACGTTCCAACAGCTATGATGGTTTCTAGCAGGTCGAGGGTCACGTCCCAACAACTATGATCGTTCTAGCTCGAGGGGTCGTCACGTTCCAGCAGCTATGATGGTTCCAGCAGATCGAGGAGGGTCACGTCCCTACAACTATGATCGTTCTAGCAGGTCGACAGGATCACGTTCCAACAACTATGATCGTTCTAGCAGTCGAGAGGGTCACGTCCCAACAACTATGATCGTTCTAGCAGTTCGAGAGGGTCACGTTCCCAGCAATTATGATCGTTCTAGCAGCTCGAGAGGATCACGTTCCAGTAGCTATGATCGTTACCTAGCAGTTCCAGAGCGTCACGTCCCAGCAGCTACGATGATTATATGTGTCCACATGGTCAAAATGCCGCAACTCAGGTATGTTACCACAATGCGTGTCCATATGAGAAATCGCTTTATATGTATATTGTTGCAAGTGAACCCTTTATCCAATTCGCCATCTTGTTACCTAAACAGATTTTGTATTTCATAGACAATTTGACAAGTAAACGCGTGTATGTGTGTATGTGTCTGTATGTTACTCATCGAATAAGGGAACACATGAAAATTGCAAGCGTTCCTTTATTCTTTACAGATTTCTTCACCAGGTATGTATTAATGGTGAAATTCTGGAAATGAATAAAGGAACACTTGTACTTTCATGTGTTCCCCTATCACGCTTCTAATGAGTATATATAGAAATGAAGTCGTAGCATCTATTTTATGAGAATTTAATGCATTCTAAATATAATCATACAAGGGAAACTGCAGATCGCGGATTTGTTTCGGATATATTATGGAAGTATGTGAATAGACATTGGCAGCCACTGAAGATTATAAGATCAGAGTAAAAATCCCCAAATTACGCAGTTCAAGGATGTTTACCACTTTGTGGAACTACTGACTGACTGACTGAGTTTAGTTTTACGCCGCTTTTAGCAATATTCCAGCAACATCACGGCAGGGGAACCAGAAATGGGCTTCACACATTGTACCCATGTGGGGATTCGAACCCGGGTCTTCGGCGTGACGAGCCAACGCTTTAACCATTAGGCTACTGCACCGCCCCTTTGTGGAACTAACAAGCACATCCTGGTGGTGACTTGCAGTCAAGCCGAATCTGACAGACCAAACTGAAAACTACAGGATCCCGGATCACCTTAGCGAGGCAACCTCGACAACAAACTGTGGCGTATTAGACGACCCAGACCCAGTTGCATCCCTGACGATTTTACATGTATCATAAGATTCACTGGGCAAATTATGATTAAATTTGCTCCATGTTGTTTTGTTTACCAGAGCATCTGTTGGTGATGGACCCAAAACAACAGATTGGTGTGGAAGATTAATCTGTTAGACTTCAATCTCAAGGACGAAATACGCCTACCCGGAGACGATCTGATATGGGACATTGAATATTCTGAGTCAGAGTGGAAATTGCTGTGGATACGTTCATTTCAGATCATAAAACACCTCTAAAGACAACTCCGGAAGTCAGACATGTCCAAAACGTCGTGGGTGAAAAGTGGTAAGGAGCATGTGGTGGAAAAAGTATAACTTGCAGACTCCGTAAGGGTTATAAGTTCGAGATCTGGTATTTTTACGGCATTAAAAGATGAGCAATGTTTCAGTCCCTATTGAATCGCTGAAGATGAAAGCTATTGGAGATAAGCAAAATTTCAGCCCTATTGAAATGCTGAAATAAAGCTATCGGAGATGAGCAATGATTCAGCCCTATTGCATTTACTATGCTGAAATGAAAGCTATTGGAGATGAGCAATGTTTCCAGCCCCTATTGAATATCTGAAGAATGAAGCTATCGGAGATGAGCAATATTTCAATCCCTACTGAATTACTAAAATAAAGCTATTGAAGATGAGCAATGTTTCAGTCCCTACTGAATTACTAAACTAGGTATTGGAGATTTGCAATGTTTCAGTCCCACTGAATTACTAAAAATAGAGCTATTGGAGATGATCAATGTTTCAATCCCTACTGAATTACTAAAACAAAGCTATCGGAGATGAGCAATATTTCAGCCCCTATTGAATTACTAAAATAAAGCTATCGGAGATGAGCAAAGTTTCAGCCCCTACTGAATTACTAAAATGAAAGCTATCGGAGATGAGCAATGTTTCAGCCCCTATTGAATTGCTGAAATGAAAGGTATCGGAGATGAGCAATGTTTCAATCCCTACTGAATTACTAAAATAAAGCTATTGAAGATGAGCAATGTTTCAGTCCCTACTGAATTACTAAACTATAGGTATTGGAGATTTTGCAATGTTTCAGTCCTATTGAATTACTAAAATAAAGCTATGGGGAGATGAGGCAATGTTTCAGCCCTATTAAAATTACTAAAATAAAAGCTATTGGAGATGAGCAATGTTTCAGTCCCTATTAGTTAACTCAAGTGAAAGCTATCGGAGATGAGCAATGTTTCAGTCCCACTGAATTGAATTAAATAAAGCTATGGGAGGTGAGCAATAGTTTCAATCTCTATTGAATTACTAAAATAAAGCTATTGGAGATGAGCAATGTTTCAGTCCCTATTGAATTGGTAAAATAGAAAAGCTATCGGAGATGAGCAATGTTTCAGTCCCTATTGAATTACTGGATACGAAAGCTATCGAGGAGATGAGCAATGTTCAATCCCTACTGAATTACTAAAATAAAGCTATTGAAAGTGAGCAATGTTTCCAGTCCCTACTGATTACTAAACTATATAGGTATTGAGTTGCAATGTTTCAGTCCCTACTGAATTACTAAAATAGAGCTATTGGAGATGATCAATGTTTCAATCCTACTGAATTACTAAAACAAAGCTATCGGAGATGAGCAATGTTTGATCCCTATTGAATTACTAAAATGAAAGCTATCGGAGATGAGCAATGTTTCAGTCCCTACTGAGATTGCTGCAATGGAAGTTATCGGAGATGAGCAATATTTCAGCCTATTAGTGCGGG